CCCAAAGTGCTCACATGGAAAAAAGATCGACTGGCCAGAGGCAGCTCACGCTGCCACAGCAGCCTGAGCTTTTCTAACCCAGCAAACTTAAGGTTGGAGAAACTTTTATACAAAGTAGTTACCATCATAAGGCCCACCAGAGAGAGAGAAGAGCTATTAGACTTTAAGTGATGGGAATGACAGGAAAAAAAATATGAATTGACCAAAAATAAGCTTAGTCTAGACATGTTCTTATTTCTGCCCACAAAAAAAATGAGGTTCCAAAACAGTAAAAGGGCAGGAGGAGAGAGTCTGAAGATAGAGCTTGACCAGTTTAGGAAGGGGGACAGCACAGCCTGGTTTTCAGCCCCAGCAAAGGACTCGACCCAGCAACGAGGCGATGCTGTCAGTCCTTTCCTGAACAAATTCTTCCTTTCTTTGCACAGTGTAAAGCACAAGCAGCCAGGGCAGCAGTTTCCCCTTCAAGCTGTCAAAAATTTATTGCCCTCTCTATGGGACCTTCTACAGCCAAAGACAAGCCGATGGCAACACAAATCACAGGGCGTTAGGACAGCAAGATGGTGACACTCTGCAGGGAAAGCAACAGCCAGAGACTCTGACAGGGGTCTGGAAAAAATCCCTGTCACGTCAGCATCAGAGCTGATACCTCTCTTCGTACCCCAGATTTGCTCTGTGTTGCTATCTCACCAAACAGACACTCGCTCCTTATCTCACAGCGGTCACGACCCTCGCTGAGGTGTTAGGATGGGGCAGGGAAAATCCCAGGAAAATTCCATCCAGCCTCTGCTCGCCCGTGAAACTCTCTGCTTGTCGGCAACCGCCCCCAGAGCCAAGTCCACTTGGCACAAAGGGAGGCAGTGGGTGAGCGAGGCCAAAAGCTGCCGCCCTGGGCAGAGGCTGCGGCCTCCTCCTGCTGCCATCCTGAGTCACCACTGCACCAGGTGACACTGGGACACGGGGCGCAGAAGGAACAGACAACACGGCGTGCGACACAGGAGGCTGAAGTGCAGCACTTGGAGACGAAACAGAATATCCAACAGCGAACAGGAGGAGGATTGGGAAGGGGGAAGGCTGTTGCAGAACAGGGAGGTGCCACGATGGGAAAAACATGAGTAACAGTGGCTGAAAAAAACTCATTCAGCAGCATCACGACCCAGTACAGCTGCCCCAAACAGGCACCTGCACAAAGAGCACCTTTTGCTGGAACATGTGAGGTTACAGCAAGATAATGAGTTTTCTCTCATTTAAAAAGAGCTCCACAGTCACTGTTTGTGTTATAAAATTAACCTCCACCGCAACTCTACCTGTGTGACCACTTAAAGAGACAAGTTGTAAACATTAACTGCTCTCAAATAGGGTGTGTGAGGTCAGAAAGTTCCCATTACCCTCAACAGCTAGAAGCCAAGAAGGAAGTAGATAACAAAATATTGCAACAACCTTTCAGGAAGCTGCTTGTTTATTCAGTTTGCACTGAAGCAGCAGCAACACTCTCAGAAGACCTCAAAGCAGTTTGCAGCACAGAGGGGAAAATAAAACTCACAGCAGAACTAACAAAACCACGTTCCCACTGGAAAAGGGTTTCTTCAGAAAAAGAGCTGCCAATAAAGCTGTCTACAGTTTTGCATGACGTGGTAAAGAATAGAAACTTCTATCTTGTTATTTTCTGCTTCAGGTGGGAGAAAACACACAATATTAAATGGAAAAAGGCCTTCCATGTTGACAACAAAGATTAACAAAGATTGAGTAACTCTGAGATGGATTTGCAGGAGGTTTTCTACAAAACTGCCTGTCTAACATCCTAATTACCTGATTTTGCAGAAGAATAGACATTTTCAGGCATCAAACTAAGCAGCCAGATCTCCCAGGCCATGGAAGGAAGGGGAATTTCCCCAGATCTCCCAGGAACTGCACAGTGCAGTGAGGGGGAAGGAGCCCCCAGCCAGGGGCCACCAGGGCTGCCCAGCGCACACTCACCCTCCTGCTGCACCGCGTTGGCCACGGCCTTTTTCACCCGTCCTGATTTCACGACGGCTGGGTCGGAGTTCGCGTAATCTGCAACGGTCACTGCGGAGAGCCGGGATGTCAGGGGAGCAGGAGCACAGGGGAGAGGCCGGGACCGCGGCGGGGCCGGGCGGGAGCTGCCCCTGCGCAGTGCGG